AAATTTTTGCTTACTTTTCTCCCTAATTTTCTTCTTTCCTTCTACAGTTATTTTCAGTGTTCACACAAGAAAATTAAGATTTTTCAATGGCTAAACTTCCATAAATTTTGCATTCTTGTCAATTTTTTTTAAATATCAATTACATGAATTGCGTTTCAGCTGAAGACAGCTTTTAATTTTCTAGTCATTTTAACTATAAATAAAGTTTAAAGCGAAGTCCAAAGGATACATATTTTAATTAAAAGATTTTTTGCTAAATGACAAAGAACTAAAACAGTCCAGCAGTGCTCATTCTGTACCACTGAGTGACCTGATTCTGATATCGGCTGAAACAATCTAAATCATATTAAAGATCATGTTCTTTTATACAATCTATAACGCGAGAGAAAAAAACTAGCTTCTTAAAACATTCTTGCTAAGAGGATTAATACAAAAATGTATACTTAGATACATACATTTTTTTAAAGCTGGGACTTGAACCAAACTGTCAAACTTTTAAAGTTTAATTTACATGGTGGTTATAATTAAAGTTCTACTTTGAAATGGTCATAAAAGGAAAACTACCGGACCAAATGTTATCAAACTTGGGAATCATGTAAACATGGAATTTATTTTCGGCAGGAAAAAGAAAGAGTTCAAAAACTTACGACCAGGGGAAAAATGGCGCTGTATGCAATATTGTTAAATGAAATAAGACATGAAAACATCTGTTTAAAATGTGTTTAATAGTTTCCGAAACGTGTTACAAAGCATGTTCAATCTAGCGTCCAGCATTTTCCAAAAGCAAGTTAGATCCTGTTACTGCATTATCAACAGCAGCTCTTAGCATATCAGGAGGAATGTTACGGACATGTCAGTGTATCACATTTTTCATTTCTGCCAAATTGTTTAGATTATCACCATAAACAAACAGTGTTTTTGAGGTAACTCCATAGCCAACAGTCACAGATGTTGAGGTCTGGAGGGAAGTGGGGATGTGTCGGCCTTTAAGATGTTCATTCGTGAAATATAGCCTAAGTAACTGTGCGACACATGTGAGGTGGGGACCAGCCCTGCATAAAAATCGTAGTATCTAAAATGACATGTTACTGCAGTTCATGTATCACGAAACATTTTAACATTGACTCTAAGCGAGCTGCAATCACAGTGGTCCAGCTCTCGACTGCTCTTCAGAAAAAAATGGTTCAATTATGAAACTTGCTGTCATTTCACACCAAACGGTCTGGAATGAATGCTATGCAATCGAATGCAGTAGGAGAATGCAATGGAACTAGGTAGATAACATAAGGGATTTCTTCGGCCCAAATCGATTAAAAGCGTTTTGAATCAGTATCTTCATGTTTTAGGGCCGAATTCGAGCTTCAAAAATTATAAATTAGCGATTTGTAAGAAATGTGCGAGTGATTTGCGATCTCACATTTTCTAACAGCTACTTCATGATTTTCACAGACGAATTTCTTCCTAAAAAGGATGCCGCATTCCACTTTTATCAACTTCAAAGTTTGATAATTTGCTTACTGCAAAGTTTCTTAAGGGTATACAACATATTAAACCCATTTACCAAAAGGTTAACCTAGATTCCGACCCATATTTCGTTTAACAATATTGCATACAGCACCATTTCCCCCTTGTGGTGAGATTTTGAACTTTCTTTTTTTTGCGAAAAATAAATTCCCATGACCTCCTTTACACGGTTACCAAGTTTGATAACATTTGATCCAGTAGCTTTCCTTTTATGACCGTTTCAAAGTGGAACTTTAATTATAACCACCCTGTATATTATTAAATTTAATTTGAAGCTATGCGTTATATGTATACCATGCGTAAGATTTTCGCTTTTATGGAAAAAATAAAGAATCGAAGCAAATATGCTTAGGATTATGGACCAAAACTGAAAAAATTTCCCCTCCCTTCGAAAATAAAATATTGAAACTTCGACCTTGAATTTATTGGATTATTGAAATATTCAATTTAACTTATCTTCTAAGTCCTAGTTCCATCAAAAATTCCGAATTACTGAAACTGAAGTAAAAAGTTTAGTATATATTCACTGTATGTTAATAAAGTAATCAGAGTGTAATAATAATAGATTATAGAATTTACACTGATGCAACTTTTTGTCTGAATGCATAACATGCAATGGAAGAGAAAGCTTGTAGAGACCTGTTTTTTTTGACATGCCTCTAAAAGTAGATGTCATACTCCTTTTGTCTCTTCAATGTCAAAAAACTTTCCTTTGAGAGGCAACTTTAGTTTTTGGGAAAGAAAAAAAAATCACAAGAAGACAAATTTGAAGAGCATGCAGAACGACTGAGTGCACATACTTATTTTCGGAACACAAGCAGTTCTCCGATTGATTATTGAATAATAAAAAGATGCATTTGTCATGCAATACAAAACATTTGGAATACATTTTCTGAATGAATAACATAAGATTAAAAGCCATCTGCTTAATTCACAGCCATTTACAAGTCAACTGCTTGGGCAATTGCAGAATCGTTTTGATCCTGAGCTTGTAAGACAAACCTAATATCATTGGATTTAAACACTTCTTTAATCTTCTGAGAACATTCCTTCTTAAGCTCATATTCCAAGAATATTAAGTGAATACAATTATTGCTAAATAAATGAATATTCATTTGCACTATGGCTTGGTAGTTTGCTAAGGAGTTAACAAAACTTTTGTGTCTAAGAATACAAGATATTTTAAATATTTACAAATAAAATATTAAATTGGAGATTTAACTGCAGCCTCACCAGTGGCCTAGCATTTGAAGATTGTTAAATACTAATTGTTTGTTGTGAAGTCTAACCCAAGCTGTGAAGTCTAACCCAAGCTTTTCATAGTTTTCTAGGTTCTCTTTACAAAGGTCCTCTATGAAAGCATCTTAACCAAATAGGTCACATGTTCTTTCTATGTTCAAATAACCAACTAATCTAGTTAAAGTGCGATTTCCAAGTGAAGTTACTAGCAAAACCCGAATACTCGTTAAAAATCACGTAGCTTGCCAATCAGGAGTGACATGAAAGATATGGCGCCAATAATTGAATTGCTGTTACAGTACGCAGTTTCTAAACTTAGATGGTCATTCCTTAATTAAATATAATTGATTCGTAACTTCTACTAGAGCTGATGGTAAGAATTGAAGTGTAAATAAATAATATCGTGTGCAATCTTGATTAATATAAAATTAGAAATAGTTGCATAAAAAATATTTGCATTCAGACAGAAAGTTTTTTGAAATATTTGCAATTACTTTATAAGAAGGGTTTATTAATAACCGTAGTAATTACTTAATATATTACTGATGATTAGAATTCAGTTCTTGACAATTACATTCTAAATTAGAATTTTAAGGATATAATGAAAATGCGCTATGCATAAAAATACATGTTAGTATAAAAAATGAGTTGATTTTTATGTTTGAAAACTTCTTAAATTCATTTTAATAAACATTGCACCCTTGTGGTTAATTGAATCCAGAATGTTGTGTGTTGTTTATATAATTATTCTTACTTGTCCACAGAACCTGTTGAGTTATCCAACCATTAAGTAGCTGCAGATCATTTCTACATAACCTTTGAACTTCCATTAATTCGGTCTCTAGAGGGTTGTATGTTTATATCATAATTTGACTTTTATAAAAATGATTATACTAAATATTATATTTCTATAAAAATATACTGTGCTTTATCAGCTGCTCTTAGAACAAGCTTGTTTAGAAACAAATTATGCAGTTAATGTCATGAAATATTTTCATAAAATTCAAATAAACATCAAACGAAAGTTCTCAGTTTTAGACAATTCGATTTAAACGAAGTTAAAGTAAAGTAGCAGATGATAAAACGCCGAAGATAAAAATTTACTTATACAATTATTTTTTTTAAAAAGGAAAGAAAGAGAAAAATAAAAAAAATAGTTAAAAATTGGAATAATATCATCTATAATTTAAAAAAATATCTTTTCAAATAGTATAAATAAATATTTATTACACATCATTGAGGGGAAAAAATTTGTATGATTAATTCTCCGTAAAATTTTATTTGAAATTTAAGGTTAAAAATAGCTGTGGCAATTCAGTGGAACAAAAATCCATAAACCACATTTGGCATTATTATCGCTCAAAAAAAAGATGCCAAATTTCAAAACGCGAAAATATGTAAATTCGTGTATATCTTAGAAAATTTTGAATAAAAAAGTCTAATTTTTTGCAGGTATGCTTAGAAATACACCTACTTTAAGATGATGGTAAAAATTTTATAGGTTATAATTCAAAATTTTTTCAAAAAATTTATAAAAATTATTTAAAATAAATTTAAAAAATAAACACAAAAAATGGGTAAATTTTATTTGGAATGAACCTAAATTTCGAAATGTGAAAGGAAAAATCAAAAAGTTTAATAAAAAAAAGAAATATTAATAAATATTTGCCAAATTCATTTAACATTGAGGAGCTAATATTTTAAAAACTACTCGTGCGATTTTTACAAAACTTGGCATTCTGGCATAATTTGAGTCGTAGATTCGAAATATGGAAAAAAAATTGGTATGTTATTTCAGAATAAGTCCTATTTTGTGTCAAAATATCTTTGTTAGAATAGTACTATATGTAAATCTAATACAATCAAAAGTCGTTAATCCAGACTCGTCGGGACTTCGGCGATTCCGGATTATCGATTTTTCCGGATTATAGATCATCAGTTTAAATCTGATGTTAGAATAGTGCTATATATAAATCTAATATATATCCTAAGTCGCGCTTTCAAGACATGAAAAACGCAATTTGAATTTTGTCTATCGGCCCAGTAGAACAGGAGATATAGCACTGTCCCCCCCTTTTTTTTAGCAGTGTACCTAACTTCCATCTTCTTAAAAAATCAAACATATAATGGAATTAATAATTTGATCAACAGTTAAAAATCATTCATGTAAATAAATTTAATTATTTATGCAAATATACTTCTGATTAGATCAATCGCTATTTTTCAGTATAAATTACCTTATTAGGGATATAAACATCTTCACAAAATATTATTAAATCTTTAAAATACTCTTTCAAATGCTGAATTGAATTCAGCATTAAATAGAGGAAATCTTTGATGTCATTCAAAACATCACCAGAGCCATGTTTTAAATGAAAAGCTTGCCTAATTCCATTTTCCAATTTTTTGTTCAGATCCTCCCATCGATTAAAATCATTACCATAATCTTCCATCATGCTACCAATCAAGCTCAAAATTGAGGGTGAACCTATAAAAAATAATTTGTTTTAATTTAATATTCGTATATATATTTAATACTTGTATATATAATCCAATATGTTGATAAGTGAGCAATAGATGTAATGTACTGAAGATTGTGGCATAGTAAGAACTTTGCAAAGGCTTTTCAGCACAGATACAAAGATGAAATTTACAGAAAGACATGGCTGAAGACAAAACCTAATTTACAGCTGGACAACTAGTTCTTGATAGACAGATTCTTATTCACATATTATCAGGGTTGCAATAGGCATCCTACAATTTTTTGAAGTTGACAATAGACAGAAATTATTCACAACATGCTAGCAGAGTAAGGGAAAGTGGGAAAATAAGTATGCACTCAGCAGCAACAAGCGATATACAGCTAATTCATTGCTGAAATTTTGATCTGTGATTGGGTAAAAGATACATGCACTGCTACATGTTATATAAGATGGCATGATAGATGAAGCATTTTAGATTCACATAATATAAAGTTAGTATTTTATGGATAGGAAAAATGAAGTATTCAAATTAAAATGAGGAATAAAAGGAACTATTTCCAAATTAAAAAGTTAGTAGTTAATTTTCATATATACCTACACATATGTACTTCCACATATACACACATATATGTGTGTGTGTGTGTGTTTGCACGTATATATATATGTGCGTGTTTACACGTATATATACTATATATGTGTGTGTGTGTATATACATATACATACCAAATGTATGTATACACATATTCGGTAATATTCATCCAAACAAAATTAGAATTACTGAAATTCTACTAAGAATGTATACTGCAAAAGAAAGAGGTGGAGGAGCAGAAGTTGGGGGGGGGGGAATGTATACATCATTTTCTGTACATAATGTATTCCAGAAAAGCTTCAGATTTGATATTAAATGCTTACGTTAGTTACAGTCAACTTGTATTACATCAATCTTTAGGAGCTGAAGAAAACGGATGCTAAATCAGATAGAAAATATATATGGGAAGATCAGTTGGTCACAGATCATTACATACAGGAGAGGTTCACAGTGGGGCTGATATTGACCTCCTGGCAGTGCACAATGATCTTCTTTTTTTTTTAATCTTTAAGATTTCAGATCATCATTGCATAGTCCACAATGATCAGAGAGTTGATAGCCAAATATGCCAGCAACTGATTAAATTATTCCTATTTAATTCCCATCAATATCCCATTGATTACAATAAAAAAAAGTATTACAAAATTGATTATTGTTTATTATGAATTTTATAATAAACAATCAATTACCAATTATATCAACTATTTTATAATTATTTTATAATAAGCAAACAATTATCAATCATTATTAGCTTTATCATGCAGTAAGGAAGAAATCACATAAAGTAGGGGAAAAGTATACTAAATTTATTTAATATATTTTTTAAATCAATATTTTAAGCATATAAAGTAATAACATAAAAACATAATAGTTTTAATGTAATAAGTGCAACATTAAGTAAAATGCAGGAATATGAGAAAACACAACCAACAAAAATATGAAGAATGCAAAGCTAATGAACCACAGCAAAAACTAAACATTCTTTCATCCATGCTAGCCACTGAAACTTGTTAAGACAAGTTCTGGTCAAATGGCAGTTATGTCATCAATATGTAAGCAAACCCTTTACATTTTACAAGAACTTTAACTGGAGCACTCTCCCCTCCCCCATTCGAAAAAATACCTCTGTTCTATGTTACCACATTCATTGTAAGAAGTGCTGCTAAAACAAAGTACACAGTAGAAGAGATGCCAGTGAGCACAGAACAATTATATTATATATTACGAAACAACTTTACACAGAGGCTGTTCGCACATTTTTTAGATGATTTTCATTGCAATAACAGAAATATTTTACCAAAAATTTTTGTTTTAAATTTTCTATTTGATAACCCTCATTCGTCACTATTCGTCCGTAATTTCCAAGATAATCAAAATAAAGCCTTTTGTAGTACCGGAGGATGTATTTTATTTCATTGCCCTTGAACAGTTTTTTTAAAGTCTAACGAGTTTGTTAAAAGTCCAAAAATACATTGGCAATAGATCAGATTTAGTAGGGATATGAGTGAAGGGTTATGGCCCTGATACCCATTTCTTGTTCCACTTTTTCCAGGAAATTAACAGTAAATTTTGACGCATCAATGCATGTTTTGTCTTGATGCAGTTCTACTGATTGAGCACACTGTGCGTATAGCGAAGAAATTTCACATTTGAAAATTGGGTATAAAATATGTTTTTCATAATAGGTGATTTCCATATTTTTTTTTCACTCTCTATTTTTAATTTGCCATTATTTGAAAAACCAGCAACAATCATAAATCACTTAAAAAAACTTGAACCATGTTTTTAAGACTTTTTTCTAGTCTTTAATGATAATAAATAGATCTCTTTTTACTGCAGTCAATTAAGTACACCCAAGATTTTGTCTATTGTGACAACATTTCCAGTTTTGTCTGGATAAATGTTTCTCATAAAGAATTCTGCAGCATGTTGTGCATTCAGCGATATGTTGTGAAGAAAGACAATGCACATTATATTTCTTTGCTCTTTTAAGATTCAGATCAGCATTAATCACTTTGTTTACAGTTGACAATGAGCATTTTAATGGTTTTGCAACTATCATTTTACTTGGCAGAATTTCTTTTAACATTAAAGATCTTACTGTTGCAACATTCAAAACAATCCATTTCTTCCTTGGATCAGTAATTGGAACAATTTTTTTTTTCACTTAAAGCTAAACTTCGGTATTTTTTCCCTTTGTTGTTGACAACATTACCTATTGTAGTTATAGTTAACGAAAAACCATGGCTTTCACGATATTTTTTAATAACTAGATATGAATAGTTTAATTTAAAAAGAACACAAACATAGCCTTCTATCCACTGCTTCTTTAAAAGTGACATTTTGCATGAAAACAAAACTGTAAAATAGCAGATTTAATTTATACTTTCAAAATGCAGCTGCAGCTTAAAAAAAAAAAAAAAAAAATTAACAGCAGAGCAAAATCACTTAAAAAATGTGTGAACCTCGTCTGTATTTGGCGTAGTTTTAAACAAAAAAACTCAATTGATTTCATTGGCAAACAGGTAAGCTCATCGGGAGTAAGCTTCTTTGCCTCTGATGAAGAGGGACCTGTTTACCCTCAAAATTGATTGAATTTTTGTCTAAATCTACACCAAATACAATCTTTACAAATTTTATGTTTTACTTTGCCATGTTTCTATTCTGATTCAACACTAAAGTTTATGAATTATCAGAAATTAATGAAGTTGCATAAAAAAAGAATACGCTGACAATATTGTGAGGAACATTAAAAGCTTGGCTTTATTTGTCATCAGGAAAAGCAACATTACCTTTATGTTTCTTTTTCAAAAAAAGCTTTTGAAAACTACATAATGAAACTGTCAAAAACAAAATGCCATTTAACAGGAATGCATGCAGATAAAAAGAAACAATTTGAAATACTTTAGAAATCTTAAAGATAAAATTTCAATGTGCTCAAAGACAGAAATTAAATCATTTCTGAACAATCAAAATTTAAAACTTATGAATGAGGACTTAAAGCTTCATATAATTATTTAAATTATTCCTATTTAATTCCAAAAGGATGATACCTGCACACAGTTAATGAAAACTTATTACATACCGGGTGGCCATAATTAAACTGACAGTGTTCACAGTGTTCTGTAGCGCGATCTATTTGCGAGAACGACACCACATTTTGTAGGAATATTAAACTAGATGGGGGACGAAGGATTCCGCGAAAAAACAAATTAGTTCCAAAAGTCACCGCTAGGGGAATATTTGGCGCTGTGTAATAGAAAATAGAGTGTGAACAAATGCAAATTAATATGGAATAAAATTACCTTTTATTATGCACATTTTCTGATTTAGTTCAAGTGCAATATGGCAACACTTTTAAAAAAGCGTAAAATCTACATAAACACCGATAAAGTCTCATGATCTGCAATATCACATATGCTGAGCAGAAGTTCTTTATTCAAATTTCACGTTACATCCATTCGCACAGTCCAGCTGCTTGGGTTTTAAAGCATTGTTATGTTTCGAATCATTGGTGAAAGTTATGTGAATTCTCTTCTTTAGTCGGCACGCATTACGTTAATTCTTTTACCCACCAGTGCAATGCGTCAGCGCTCTCGTGCTTTAGAACGCACAAAAAAAAAAATAAAATAATAATGATAATGCGTAAGGTACGGTCCTGTGTCAGTTAATGGGCTAAAGCAATGGTTGCGACGTTTGAGAAACAGGTTCTTGAAGGTTCATTCAGGCAGAGGATAAACCTGTACCACAGGATACAATCGAAGCAATTGCCACGACGATTGCGACAGAGGACCAGACAATATTCTGCCACTCTCAGCGCTCGTGAAGTGCTCAATATAGATATGCCTTACAGACGGTATGGAAAAATTTAGGAAAAATTATCAATTCTATCCGCCAAATCAGCGGTGTACAGGAGTTACTTCCCCCCCCTATGATAAGCGATTTGACTTTGCTCTCACCTTTTTTACAGATGAGTGGATGTGCTTGCCGTTGGAAATCTTATGGGAGACGGGCAACACTTTTACCTAATGGAACTTGATACCCAGAAACTGCCGAATTTGGGATGACAAACCACCACATCAGTCACAGCCATCCCTACATCACCAAGGTAACTTTTTGGTGTGGGTTCACAGCGGAATTTATCATCGGTCCATTTTCTATGAGATATTACCTCCAACAGTACCGAAACCTGTTCTGTTACCGAGAGAATATTGCCCACAGTTGAACAGCTTGTCATTCCAGCCTTCACAAGACATGCCTGGTGAAATTATTTTCATGCAAGGTGTAGCCCCTCCACACTTGCTGCAGCAGTTGCAACATATGCTCGACGAATTCACAACAGAAAGATTCATTAGCCGCTACTTGCCAACTGCTGGCCGCCTGATCTTACCCATGTTCGTCTGCTATAGGGTTACC